GAAGGACCTATCTGATAGGTAAGACTCAAACCACTGGAGTGCGGTCCCTGAGATGCCATTTGCCAATAAGGTTGACAGGAGGATCTGGTGTCAAAAGCACCGGACAGGTCCAGCAAGATAAGCATTGAAGATTTGGAATCCGCTCTTGCCAGTCTTAGGGCTTCAACAACTGAGAGCAAGGCAGTCTCGGTTGAATGTCCACTTCTGAAACCAGACTGGTTGCTGTCAAGGAGGGTGTTCTGTGTGGGAAAGGCAGAGACTTGGTTGAACACAGCTCATTCAAGTGTTTTTGCAATGAAAGGAAGAAGGGAAACCGGTCTGTAGTTCTCTAAAAGAGTTGGGTTAAGAGTGGGTTTCTTAAGAAGTGGGATATGTTAATGATGTGAGTGAGTTGAGTGAGTGCTACAGGAGAAATGGCTTGAAGGATTATTCACAAAATTATTCATACCCTTGGTAAATATGGTAAATATGAGCTCAGTTAGAGAGGAAGAGGACAATCCAAGAGTAGAGCCCAGAGATGAAAGAGAGAGAGCACACAGGTTACATTCTTCATTTATCCTTGACCATGTGACTTAAACCAAATCTGAGATATTCAAACCGACCAATCAGCAGACAACAGCTGCCCCCACTGTACAAGAGGTGTGACAATTAGTAGGTCTCAGCCAGCATCTCTTAGTTTTCTTGCTTTCTTCTTACTTTCTGAACTTCCTCGAATTTGAAGTGAACTCATACTTCAATGCTTTAAAAAAAAAATTGCAACTCACCATTGACAATTGTGCTGCAACTCTTGCTGCCACAGGAGCAGTAGGCTGGGGCTGGGGGTCCGGCTGACTCTGCTCCATGGCCTTCTTTGCTGTTCCAGCAGCAGCAGCAGGTTGTTCCACCACCCTTTGTGCTGGTCCAGTAGGGCTGGCAGTTGGCTGTTTAAGACAGCCCAAAAAAAATACATGTAACAATTCAGAAAGAAAACCATTTCAGTAAATAATACTAACAAAAAATACTTGCTACATTAATGTTACCTTTGGAGTGTGAAAACCACAGATGCATTTCAGCACACCTCCAAGCAAGTTTGTCTGGCCACGAGACAGCATCGGACATTTCTCAATCTGTAAGCATAATAACAAATGTAATGCACAATACAAGTGAGTCCCTTAACAGAGCATACAATACTTCATTAAATTCATATATTAATTAATTCATTGATTAATTTCTAGGACACGAGTCACTATTTATCTTATATACAGTGGTGTGAAAAAGTGTTGGCCCCCTTCCTGATTTCTTATTTTTTTTGCATGTTTGTCACACTTTAATGTTTCAGATCATCAAACAAATTTAAATATTAGTAAAAGATAACACAAGTGAACACAACATGCAGTTTTTAAATGAAGGTTTTTATTATTAAGGGAAAACAAAATCCAAAACTACATGGCCCTGTGTGAAGAAGTGTTTGCCCCCCTGTTAAAACTGTGGTTTATCACACCTGAGTTCAATTTCTCTAGCCACACCCAGGCCTGATTACTGCCACACCTGTTCGCAATCAAGAAATCTCTTAAATAGGACCTGCCTGACAAAGTGAAGTAGACCAAAAGATCCTCAAAAGCTAGACATCATGCCGAGATCCAAAGAAATTCAGAAACAAATGAGAAAGAAAGTAATTGAGATCTATCAGTCTGGAAAAGGTTATAAAGCCATTTCTAAAGCTTTGGGACTCCAGCGAACCACAGTGAGAGCCATTATTCACAAATGGCAAAAACATGGAACAGTGGAGAACCTTCCCAGGAGTGGCCGGCCGACCAAAATTACCCCAAGAGCACAGCGACGACTCATCCAAGAGGTCACAAAAGACCCCACAACAACATCCAAAGAACTGCAGGCCTCACTTGCCTCAGTTAAGGTCAGTGTTCATGACTCCACCATAAGAAAGAGACTGGGCAAAAATGGTCTGCATGGCAGAGTTCCAAGACGAAAACCGCTGCTGAGCAAAAAGAACATAAAGGCTCGTCTCAGTTTTGCCAGAAAACATCTTGATGATCCCCAAGACTTTTGGGAAAATACTCTGTGGACTGACGAGACAAAAGTTGAACTTTTTGGAAGGTGTGTGTCCCATTACGTCTGGCGTAAAAGTAACACTGCATTTCAGAAAAAGAACATCATACCAACAGTAAAATATGGTGGTGGTAGTGTGATGGTCTGGGGCTGTTTTGCTGCTTCAGGACCTGGAAGACTTGCTGTGATAAATGGAACCATGAATTCTGCTGTTTACCAAAAAATCCTGAAGGAGAATGTCCGGCCATCTGTTCGTGACCTCAAGCTGAAGCGAACTTGGGTTCTGCAGCAGGACAATGATCCAAAACACACCAGCAAGTCCACCTCTGAATGGCTGAAGAAAAACAAAATGAAGACTTTGGAGTGGCCTAGTCAAAGTCCTGACCTGAATCCTATTGAGATGCTGTGGCATGACCTTAAAAAGGCGGTTCATGCTCGAAAACTCTCCAATGTGGCTGAATTACAACAATTCTGCATAGATGAGTGGACCAAAATTCCTCCACAGCGCTGTAACAGACTCATTGCAAGTTATCGCCAACGCTTGATTGCAGTTGTTGCTGCTAAGGGTGGCCGAACCAGTTATTAGGTTTAGGGGGCATACACTTTTTCACACAGGGCCATGTAGTTTTGGATTTTGTTTTCCCTTAATAATAAAAACCCTTCACTTTTTAAACTTCATTTAAAAACTGCATGTTGTGTTCACTTGTGTTATCTTTTACTAATATTTAAATTTGTTTGATGATCTGAAACATTAAAGTGTGACAAACATGCAAAAAAATAAGAAATCAGGAAGAGGGCCAACACTTTTTCACACCACTGTATATATATATATATATATATACATACACACACAAACACACACAAAGACGGCTAAATGAAATGATGCTTACTTTCTGGTTTTTCATCTCAACGACTGTTTCATTCTCATCATAGAAACCAAACTGACTGAAAAGCAAGAAAACGAGGCATCATAAAAAAAATCTGTTTTCAAAGAAGAACAAAAAAAATTATGTTTCAAGCTTCTATGAATCTGAGTTAAAGGTGACAAAACTGACAAGTCAATTAACCAACCTTGACTGCCATGGTGTGATGACTCCATCATCAGCACCACCAATCAGCACCAGCTTCTTAATGCGCAAGAAGTTTTGTTTCCAAGCTGCGCAAAGAAAATACTACATCAAAAACCAGCAATAAACACTTTTTCCTTGAAAAAAAAGGAAGCAAGCTCTGGCACTCAAAGCCAAAGAAATCACAATCATCACCTTCTTACAGAAAATAGATTTTGACCTTTTGGACATTTTTTTCCTTCTTAGTTTTTTTTATTTTATATTTTTGCCTGTGTTAAATATCAAAGGACAAAAATGTTCTTAAACCCATTAAACCTGCTATTTTTAATCGCAGTGCCATTTAACTGTAAAATGATGCAATTTTTGTTCATAGGCTTTCATTCTGTTGGCAAGGCTTCGAAATTAAATTTTTTGCTATTTTTTACCAGATGGTGACATTTTTTTCAGGTTTGGCCTATAAAGCATATACTTGCTTTATTCCTGTTTTCTGCTTCTGCATATTATAGAGCCAATTGGATAAATAATGCAGCTAAAATTGTGTGGGTGTGTTGGTATGGATGTCAGAGTGTGGTTTGTATGTGTGTCATAAAAAAATGTGTGTGTGTGTCTGTGTAATATTTGAGAGCGAAAAACTACTGTACTGCAAATCACAAATCCAACCACTGTGTGCACCAGCGGAGTTTTGCTGGCATCTAATGGGGAAAATTTGGTACTGCGCCCAAACAAAATCTTACTGAAAGCTCATTTTTTGAGATATCAACCTCAAATTTGGAACACAACTTGTTTAGATTTATGGCTTTGATTTTCTAGCAGGTTTAGAGTTCAACATGTTTCATAAAACATATATTTTATATAAAATATTGTTAACTCATTTTCATAAACTTAAACCTCTATAACTTTTTTTTGTTTCACTTTTTAAAGTGAAGTACTTTTTACTTCAACAATAATCTGCCATGGGTCTTCTTTAAAATGAGACAAACTTAAGGCTGTGCTCCCAAGCTTCAAATTTTTATGACAGTTTATTGACATGGACATTTTTGTCCACTATGGACCTATGTGTAACTTTTTTTAACAAAGGTTAAGAAAGCAGGTAATGTGATCTGTTGCCTCACCAGTAGAATTGGGATTTGCTTTTTCATTGTCCAGTAAGGCCAGATAGTCACTGCTGTTGATGTACATGTCTCTGTGATGAGGGTCTGAAGAAAAAACCCCACAAACATCGCCGCATGTCTCATGCCATAAAGAAATACAAGACCTTTTAATAATGCCATTATTGTAAGAAAAATATATCCAGTCAATGAATGATCAGGGCTACAGTGTTTCAGCACGTTGTTATTCGGTTGATATGGTGCTCTGGGTGGCTGTTTACCGGCCCAATCAAAAGAGCAAACTCTATAGCCGCTTTTCCGCTGTCGGGCCGAACGGTTCTAAGAACAGTAAGGAATGGTTAGTTATATTTCCACTTGAGCTTGGTTCGGCACAGCATGATTGCAAACCGTTCTCGGCCTGGAATTCCTAGTTACATTACAGTTAGCTAACCGTGCTGCTAGAATGCGTGTAGTGATGGTGCCACTCAGGATCACTCACTCGTTTGTTGTCTGGCTACTTCAATTTTCCCCCCAGTGGAAAACTGCAACCATATATTTGAACCAGCTGGGCTGGATCAGCAACGGTTTGGCCCAACGGTGGAAAAGCGCCCTATATGGCTCTGTGATACTCTGGTTTCTAGATATGCCTCTGGTCTCTAGTTCACCCAAAAAGAAAATTCTATCATCATTTACTCACCCTCATGTCTTTCTAAACATGTATGACTTCAGGGATTAAAGACAAAAAATTTAAATAACGTGCATAGTGCACAAACCCACTTTTTCAGGCTACGTCATATTCCATTTAACCATCACTATACTTAAATACTCGAGACCAACAAAAATGTTTATGAACAGATATTCTATTTTCAATTTGCATAGTTTTGAAGCTGTTTCAATTTAAAGTTCAAATTGCTACTATACTTTTAAAATACTTTTTAGTCATACAATCAACCATCTACAAAACTTCTCAGTTTTTTTTTGTTTTTTTTTTGTAATGGCAAACAATGTTTTATTTTAAGTGAACTTCCTAACACTTAAAGAACAAAATATGCAATTATTGTACACAAGTCTCTACAATGCTTTCCACTTTCTCTGACTACTATTCCTGGAGCTTGGCTACACCTGATTCCACTTGTTAATCATTATGGTCAGTTATTACCCTTGATTTTATAATGATGATTATTAAGGATGGTTAACAGTGTACATTTTGTGTACATTACATGTCATTCATGTAGGCTTCACAAACAAAATAAGTTGAAAACTATTTATGAAATAGAAAATCAAGACTTGATTGAACAAAATGGTTATTCAAACTGGAAACACATTATATACAGAAAGCGACCGAAGACTGTTCCCCATCACTGAAGCATCAATGACTTCAGTTCAGCACGAGTTCTGCACATTTGCAAAAACTCGCAATTTGTTGTTTATGACGAAAAAATTAGCAAGAGTGCAGAATTCACCGGTAACTAATCTAAATGCCTCCGATTGTTCATTGCATTCATACACTCACAAACGTAAGTCATGTGTTGTAATGCTCAACTGCAAAAAACTGTGTGTAAAAAATCTTTGATACAACATAAGCAGATCTAAACGTAATGCTGCAGACACTTTATCAATATTAATCATGACAACGGTAATTGATTTAGTTTAATTGTGCAGGAACAATTTTTTTTTTTGTCCCTGTATCTTGAATCTTTGCCCCAATGGTTTGGGTACCAACATTCTTCAAAATATCTTCTTTTGTGTTCCACATACAGGGTTGAAACCACATGAGGATGAGTCACTGATGACAGAATTCTAATTTTAGGTTGAACAATCTCTTTAAAATCACTCACTTAGAAAAGCACACCTGACCTCAACATGCTGCATGATAACACAAATGATGAGGGTCAGTTATGAACTACAGTTTTGTACGGTTTTGCTCAAATCAGTATGAACAATAGTAACAGTGATGCAAGCACCATTAATAATGTAACATGAAAGTGAATTGTCATTATTTATGCGTCTATTTTCTGATCCATTCATCCACTCACCGTTCCAGTAATTACAGATTGATATTTTCTGGCCCACTGCAGTATAGCACACATGATACAAGTTGGATTTGACAAACTGAGGGAAGAGGTACTTCAGATATTCTGTGTCTACAAAAGAAGAGCAAATATGAAACTTCTAAAACATAAGCAAAACCAGAAACATTTCTTTCCAAAGAGGTCAAAATGTCCAAATATGGAACGGTTTCACATGACCCTCAATGACTCGAAGCATTTCAATTTTTAACCAGGTCAGTGTTTCTCAGCAAACCTGAAGAAAGTGTGTTACCTCCATACTGCCCCGCCTGCGGAGAAGACAGAGATATGAAAGAGTGCACATTGTGGTCTGGAAGAGTGGACAGGATTCCTCGACACACCAGGCCACCTGCAACAGATTCAGACATGCCCTCACTTTAATGTTTATATAAGCTAAGGTGACAACATATATTTCTACTTAAAACATATTTTTAATATTTTTTTTTTTTTTTTTCCCATTAATGCGGTATTTAAGATTAAAACAGAGAAAAGGCATTTAAAATCCAATGCAAAGTGCTACCTGGACAGAAAAATTATATCCATATGCAATGCCATGGTGTAACCACTAGAGGCCTGTATAGCTCTCTGCATAAATATATGTGCATTTACAGGGCTGTGTGTCTATTTTACACTCAAAATGGTTCAGAATTTCACCCCATCACTGTTCACATAGCAAGTAGCACAAAAGTCACCAAGTTTCATACCATTACAATTAAGATGGTTAAGAAGAAAAGTTTGTTAAGAGCTAAAATATAAAGGGAGATTACGATATCTTCAGTACTTCTTGAGTTACAGGCATGCAGACTTGAGGAAAAAAACAACTTTTCTTTACCATTTTTTAATTGTCACCCTATAATGCAACAAAGACCTAATAGACCCAATCTCTGTGTAAAAATAACATGATGCTGCCATCTGTCTCAGGTGTTGTTTTTATCCTCCTGCGATTTAGCTCCAAATTTTGGGTGAAAATTATAAAATATATACTGTGATATTTTGGCTTTCTTCATCACGCAGTTCTTTCTCCAGAAAAATATAAACAAAATGAAACATTTGAGCCAGGAACCTCTGGTTTAGTTGACCCATTTCTGGTCCTGCCTACCGTTTAATATAGCTCTTCCAGCCGTGCTTAAACCTCAGCACAGCAACAGATAAAATAGGTCAAAAAGTGTTTTTTGTTTTTTTAATCGCTGCACACAGCAAACCACAGCGTAATGCTTTTATGTTGCAAAGCAACAGCCTCTAGCCATGCTTGTATTCACAATATAGCACACGGCTCCACACACTACTGCGATGGCTACAAACCTTGTGAGTAGCAGATGAGGTGGACACCATCGGCTGCGTTCTGCATGATGGGATATATGGCTTCTGTAAAGCCCTCCACCTGCTTCCAGAGCGGCTGCAAGCTGGCGCTGCGGTCAAACATGTCTAGGACAGTCACATTAGTGCCCGGGTGAGACTGTCACCAGACAATCACACACACAAAACACACAAATCAATCACATATGAACAGACAACAAACTGTCCTCTGCAACATTTTCAATGCATGGGTTTGTAGTTGTTTGGCTCATGTCACGTATAAATCAGCATATTAGAATGATTTCTGAAGATCATGTGACACTGAATGAGCAGTAATGATGCTGAAAATTCAGCTTTGATCACAGAAATAAATTAGATTTTAATGTATATTAAAATAGAAAAACGTTATTTTACATCATAATAATATTTCACAATATGACACTTTTTCGTGTATTTTTGATCAAATAAATGCAAGGCTGTTTTTTTTTTAACCTTGTCCGGTCATTTCTGACTGGAAAATTTTACATTTTGAATTTTTTTAAATCGTAGCTTCACCAGAATGGTACGAAACTTGGTGGCTTTTATGGCACTTGGTATGTGAACACAAAAAATTAAAATTGAGGGCATGATTCGAAAAAGCTAAGTGGTCGTAAAAAAAATTGTCACTCATGGTCTTCGGTCAAAAATGACCGACCATAGGAAATGAATGGGAAATGGGAAGAAAATCGAAATCGACACACACACCTATGAACTGGTGTGACTGTAACACTGCAATTATGCAAAATAAAATCAATAATTCGACTACAATGCAGTAAAAAAGTGGACAGCAAGGAAGGGGTTACACTCTAAAACATCAAGAATGCAAAACGGTTACATCCAATCACACACAATTACTTACACACACACATACAGAATTATACATACTCAAATTAATTGGTATGGCTATAACCATATAGCCAAAATGAGTCAGAAGACTGAAATAAGAGGTTAAAATCAGATCAGACCCAGAACGATTAAGCTCCGATAAAGCATTCCTGTTAATTTTTGTTACATTTTTATAGAATTGTAATGTTTTGTGTAACAATCTGCTTTCTGTGTTCAGGTTTGAATGTAGTAATAATAATGCAAAAACCTACACTTCAAATCAACATTTAAAACAACAAAAAATATAAACCTTGACAAAAAGTATAGTCTTTAAGAATGCTTTAATATACATTTAAATCCACAACCTAATAAAAGTAAATAATTATGTATAAAAACAACTAGGGAATTCACAAGCCTCTCTATCAAGTCCTATACAGGAATCTAGTGGTTACACCATGAAATTACCGTTTTTTCTTTTTTTGCTCACACCAGGAGGTGCTATTCTGCCTTCAAAAATGGGATTTTAAAGGCCTAGTCTCTATTTTAATCTGAAATACTGCATTAATTGAAAAATA